GGTTTCCCTGCTGTAGCTATCAACACGGCTCTTGTCTTGAGACGCTCTGCTTCGTCCTCCTTTACGTCTACTTCGATGTTGGCGCTTCTTGGCCAATCCTTTTCTGGAAGCTGAAGAAAYTCRGGTCCCTTTGACCATCTATCATTGAGCTCTTGTACATGTATTCCACGAGAAAGATCATCGGCGACATTTTCTTCTCCTGGGATATGTCTCCATTGCGTGGGCTCGGAATTGCTTTGTATCTCTCCTATTCGCGCTGACAGAAATGGCTTAAAATTCCTGGAACAACTTCTTATCCAGGAGAGAACAATGGCGCTGTCTGTGAAGAACCGGTTATCTTGAAAATGGATTCTAGACTCTTCTAAGATAGTCCTTGCCAGTCGAGATGCTAGCACAGCTGCCTGCAGTTCCAGCCTTGGAATAGTTAGCTGCTTGAGTGGTGCAACTCGAGACTTGGCTGCAATGAACTTTACTTCATACTTTCCATCTTGAATCATCTTTCTGACGTAGGCGCAAGCTCCGAAGGCTTTGTTGGATGCATCTGRAAATATACATAGCTGAGGTGGGTTTACTGCGCCCTTTGTTAATAGACATCTGGGAAAACTGATCTCTTCAAGCTCTTTCATCTCGTTGAGGTAGGCAAGCCATTCCTTCTTTGATGTTTGAGGAAGTTCCTCATCCCAGCCTACTCCCGACTTCCACAATTCTTGCATTAGGATCTTTGCGTTTATGGTGAATGCAGAGGCAAATCCGAGTGGATCATAGATCTGCGCAACAGTACTTAAAACCATTCTCTTTGTCAGCTTTACATCTTTGATTAGCTCTAATTCTGTTGACGATTTCTTAAGGAGATCTGGTTTGATCTTGAGAGACAGTTTGTCAGTCTTGCTGTTCCAGTTGATTCCTAACACCTTTTCTTGTTCGGCGTAGAACATGCTCTTTTTCTCTCTTCCKTCCTGATCTTTGTCTATTGGCTTGTTAGACATCCAACCCTTTACACTGAATCCTCCCTTTGCTAAGGCGTCGTCAAGATCTTTCGCTAGCTTTTGTGCGTCTTTGTCTGTGTCAGTGGAGTGGCATATGTCGTCCATGTAAACATCGTTTAACAATACCTCAGCTGCCTCAGGAGTAGAGCTTCTGCTTTCGTCTGCTGTTTTCCTCAACGCTATCTGTGCCATCGCTGGGGCTGGTTTATCTCCAAAGGTTAGCACTTTCTTGACGTACACGTCCGGCTCTCTGTTTGTCTCTAGGTTCCTCCACAAATACCTATGAACATGCTGGTCTTCCTCTGGAATTAGAATACGATGGTACATCTTGGATATATCTCCGACTAACGCTACTTCCTTTTCTCTAAAACGCAAAATCACGCCAAACAAGTTGTTCAACAAATCTGGACCTTTCATCCAGTAGTCATTCAAAACATGTCCTTGATAATTAGATGATGCGTTGAACACAATGCGGACAGGTGTACTTTTATTTYCTGGTCTTACAACTGCATGGTGCGGTATGTAATGTACTGGTCCATCGTAGGACTGGATCTCTTCTTTCGTCAGCTTACGCGCAAATCCCATCTCTTGCAGCTCATCCATTTGCTTACAATAAGCACTTGCGTGCTCCTGATTCTGCTTCAGTCGGCGCTCAGTAGACTCTARGCGTTTAATTGCCACGTTCTTGTTGTCTGGTAGGAGTTTGGGATCCTTTTTCCAGGGGTAGGGGATCGTCCATTGATTATTCTTTAATACACAGGAGTCTTCAATGACTTTCGCTTCCTCCCTTTCCACTTGCGARAGCTTGTCTGGCCTGCAGTTGCATGGTTTCACGGCAACTCCCATGGTCTCCGTCTTCCAGAAATCTGTCAGATCGACTGAATCAACGGGGCTACTGAGCAGAGCATGGCAAAAACGRGTTTCATCTTGGGCTTCTCCCGGAGTTCCTCCAAAGATAACCCATCCAAGTGGACATTTCCGTGCGACTAGGTCACCTTCGCGTTTTGTCTCGCCGGTGTGGAATTGGGCGTGGTCGACGCCAATTAACACATCAATAAAACCTTTGCCACGATGGACTGACTCTTTCTCAAGGCCAAGTTGTTTGAGGATTGGCTTGAGCTGTACTGGTTTAACGGATTCGCTAATCTTCGGTATGCCAATTGCCTTAACTGACAATGGTTTGGTACTGCCAACAGCGATGATTGGAACTCTGTAGACCTTGGTTGGAAAGACTTCTTCCTCCCCACCGACTTTTGTTATGCTGATGGTTGTATCTTTGCCAGTCAGACCTAGAAGGTCTGCTSTTTCGTTGCGAATAAGGCTTAGCTGTGCTCCTGAATCCAAGAGAACGTTTCCGTTTTTTCTTAATCCATTAGCTCCGACAATAACAGCGGTCACTACGGGTAGAACAGGACCGGTATCACCAACCGATGCTACACCCACGGACGGGGAACTTGTCTGATGMAGCAGTGTATGATGGTATTTGGAGCACTCTTGACCGTTCTCCGATTTTGCGCACTTCTTTCGCCTGTTACAGTTTGATGCTCGATGATCTCGTCCAGCTTGTTTAAGGCAGCTGAAACAAACATGATTCTCTTTGGCTACTTTCAGGCGTTCATCAACTTTGAGTCTGGCAAAACTGGAACAYTGATCAGGCCAATGGTCAGAATTYTTACAGTACCAGCAYTTGTGTCTTGTCTTGCTATCAGCGCTCACTTCAGGCTGTATGAAGGTAGACTTTGAAGTTTCCATCGCGACGTAATGAATAGACCGCTGGCTTACGCTCGCTCGTAGAGGCGCTGTGGCGCGCATGCGCGATTTCATTTCCGTTGTCATCCAGGTTAAAAGCGCATGCAGTGTGGCTGTTTTGTTTTCGCGTTCCAGCTCTCTCGCCCAGACTTTTCTATCATCAATGCACATTTTCTGCTCTATTATAGACAACATATGGCTGTTATCCATATCACTCGGGACTCCGACTTCTTTAAGCGTATTGTAACTTCTCTTCACCAAATG